GCGGCGGCGGCGGCGGCGGCTCCATCACCGGCGCGCAGAAAGGGGAAGAGGAGGAGGAGGAGGAGGAGGAGGAGGAGGGAGGAAGGAAGGCAGGAAGGAAGGAAGAAGCGCCGCGGCGGAGGGGCCCGCGGGATGGCCATGGCCTGACCGGGCCGGGGCAGCGCTGCCCCCCGGCACAGCCCCCCGGCACAGCCCCCCGCCCATGGCGCTGTAGCGGGCGCGGGGCCCGGGGGCAGCGGCGGCGGTGGCGGCGAGCGATGCGGGCTCCGGGACCATGCTGAGGACCGAGGCCGGCGGGGCCGGGGGGTCCCCCTCGGCCGGGGGCGCGGCGGGGGCCGGGGGGCTGCGCAGCGCGTCCCCGCACCGGAACGCCTACGAGGCCACCATCCAGGCCCTGGCGCCCACAAAGGAGGCCGACGGCGAGGACGGCAAGAAGAGCCGCGGGAAGAAGTATGGCTCCAACGTGCATCGGATCAAGAACATGTTCCTGCAGATGGGGACGGCTCCCGGCCCCGAGGGCGCCTGCGACCTGGCCAAGGCCAAGGAGAAGCCGGTGCGCCTGTCCTTACCCCGCGCCGGCAGCCTGGGCGACGGCGTGGACCAGGGCAACCTCCTCAAGCTGGGCACCAGCGTCTCGGAGCGCGTCAGCCGCTTCGACTCCAAGCCCGACAAACCCTTCTCCAAGCTGCAGGAGACCCGCAAGATCTTCGAGAGGAGCCCTCAGGAGAAGGCCACCAGCACCAAGCTGCTGCTGCGCAAGGAGCGAGCCGGCTTCCAGGACCGCAAGCTGGACGTGGTGGTGAGGTTCAACGGCAGCACCGAGTCGCTGGACAAGCTGGACGCCGACGCCGTGTCGCCCACCGTGAGCCAGCTGAGCGCCGTCTTCGAGAAGGCCGACCTGCGGAACAACCTGCACAAGGCGCAGGGCAGGGCGGCCGCGCCGCTCAACGCCAAGGCGGTGGCCAAGCGGCCGCGGGTCTTCGCGCCCGGCACCGAGCCCGCTCGCCCGGGTGATAGCCACGCCGCCCCGGCCCGTGCCCGGCCCGCGGAGGACGAGAAGGCGGCGGGGAAGAGCGGGAGGCCGGCGGAGAAGGAGGCGGCGGGAGCGCCGAGGGTGCAGGAGGTGTGCAAGATCAAGCCCGTGGAGGTGGAGGAGAGCGGAGAGGGCGAGGAGGAGGAAGAGGAGGAGGCGRCGGCGAAGGGAGAAGCGGCCCCGGCGACCCAACCGGCCAAAGGGGATGAAGGTCCGGCGGCCGCGGCTCCTCGGCCGGACGGGGGCTCGGGAGTGGCCGCGGGCGAGGAGGGCGTCAAGGGCGAGCGGGCGGAGGAGGGCGATGGCTCCGAGGAGGCCAAGAAGGAGGATTTCTCCGAGGCGGACCTGGTGGACATAAGTGCCTACAGCGGGCTCGGGGAGGACTCGGGGGGCAGCGGGCTGGACGAGGAGGATGAGGCCGAAGGGCTGTACGAGCCCGAGTCGGGCTGCGTGGAGATCCCGGGGCTGTCCGAGGAAGAGGAGCCCGTGCCCAACCGCAAGATCCAGTTCAGCACGGCGCCCATCCAGGTGAGCGGGGCCGGGAGAGGGATGGAGGGAGAGAGGGATGGACGGAAAGAGGGATGGAGGGAGAGAGGGATGGACGGAGAGAGGGATGGAGGGAGAGAGGGATGGACGGAGGGTACCCAGGGGTGCTCAGGGTGAGGGGTGCAAGAGTGAGGGTACCCAGGGTGAGGGGTATCCAAGGGTGAGGAGAACACAGGATGAGGGGTACCACAGGCTGTGGAGAGCCTGGGACGAGGGGTACCCACGATGACGGGTACCACAGGGTGAGGAGAACACAGGATAAGGGGTACCACAGGCTGTGGAGAGCCTGGGGCGAGGGGTACCCAGGGTGAAAAATACCCAGAGTGAGGGGTATCCAAGGGTGAGGGATGCAAGAGTGAGGGTATCCAGGGTGAGGAGAACCCAGGGTGAAGGGTATCCAGGGTAATGGGTAATTCAGGATGAGAGGTACCCAGGATGATGGACAGCCCAGAGTGAGGGGTGTGACCCCCACAGAATCCCCCCTTTGGCAGGGACTGGAAGGTGGGTGAGCTGCAGGGCTGTGTCCCCATGCCCTGTGCCCGCCATGGGACATGGAATCCTGTCCCTGTCCCTGTCCCCATCCCTGTCCCTGTGCTGGGCCAAGCAGGGCCTGGGCCTGTTTAACCACGGGCCGTGCCTGTGCATGGGGGGTCCCTCTAAATGAGGGCACCCTATGGCCGCTGTTCGAGCACTGGGTGGCACTGGGACCCCATGGGGACAGATGGCACTGGGACCCTCTGGGGTGTGCCAGTCACAGCACCCAGTGCCACCCCCCCGCCGTGCCCAGGCCGTGCCAAAACCACTTCTTCTTTTTGGGTGGGGATGTCCGGAACAGCTCAGCGAGAGCTGCTGGGGCCAGCGCGGGGTCACCCTCGGTCCTGGGCACCCCTCGGGGCCGGGGCTCCTCCCAAACCGGGGGTCCTTGGGGACAGGGTGGGCATGGCGGGGATGTGACCCCTGTGTGCCCAGCACGGTGCCYGGGGCGGTTTTGGRAWGGRGAGGAAGGAGAGGAAGAGGAAGATGAGGAGGAAGAGGAAGAWGGGGAGGAAGGRGAGGAAGGAGAGGCAGARGAGGAAGGGGAATATGGGAAGGAAGGGGAGGATGAGTAGGAAAGGGAGGATGGGGATGAAGGAGAGGAAGAAGAGGAAGGAGAAGAAGGAGAGGAAAGGCAGRGGAGGAAGGGGAGGAAGGGGAAGATGAGGAAGAAGGGGAGGATGAAGAGGAAGGAGAGGAAAGGGAGGAAGGAGAGGATGAAGAGGAAGGAGAGGAAAGGGAGGAA